ACCAGCTCTGTGCGCGTCGTGTTCTTTGAACGAACGATCGCCGTTAAGGTTATATCCGATTTCCTCCGATCCGATTCCAGTTTTCAGGGATATCTCGTGGCCATGGAGGATCGAGGAACGGGGGCAATCTTTGCCCCCTCCCCCCTCGCGCCTCCGTGGCGGCGGTCGAAAAGTCTCGCGGCGAAAAGTCTCTCCCCTTTTTTCCCCCCCGCCCCTCAGTCGAAGACAATATCTTGGGCGAGTTGTTTTCCCTGTTTCGAACCACCGCGTACCACCACGGCCGGTGCGTTCGTTTTATCGATTATTTCGATTGCCACGCCGGTGATTCGGCTGTACGGGCATTCATAACTCGGGAATTCCTGCCTCGAATTTCATTTCGCGATGCACCGTTCGCTATTCGGACCAAGGTATTTCGACGATTTATAAATCCGATGCGAATAATTTTCTTCCCTTTTTTTTCTTGTTTTTCTCTCTCTCTCTCTCTCTCTCTCTCTTCTTTCCCTCCCCTCGGAAACGAGGGAGAACGTTAAACGCGGTAAAAGGATAACGATGGAGAAGAAATTGCGTTAATTAATTTATCCGAGGTAAACGAGATAAGCTTCTTCTTTCTCTCTCTCTCTCGCTCTCTCTCGTGGTCGTCGATCCACGTAGAACGTGGAAACAAGTTTTCAACTTTTATCGAGTGTATAAAAATATACAGGGGACGTATTTACTCCGCAAACTTAAAACCCCTTCGACCATTTATTCGGCCTCTGGTGGAACGAGAGAGAGAGAGACGAGAAGAGAGAGAAAGAGAGAGAGAGGGAGAGAGAGAGAAAGCTCTCTCGTCACCTCTCGTAATTACGCGCGCGCGATAGATAATTTAATCGCACGATAGTTTTCTAGAGACGCCGTTGCTCCGTTTACGATGCCTCATTCCCACGGATAGAGAGCGGTTTGTAAACGAACGAGGGGTCGCCTCTCTATCGCACCCAATAACGATTCGGAGGCGTTATCGCGGCTTTACATCCCTTTGGCCCCGGCGTGACAGTAAGGTTAGCACGCCGTTGTTGCGTACACGCCAGAATGGACTTTGCTCTCGCCCTGTATTTCGAATATCCTCGTTAACCGCGCCTCTTGCTCCGTCTTGTCCGCTCGCGAGACATGGGCACCCTGTTAAAAAGGGATCGATCTTATCCTCGTCGTTTCCAAAATATATTTTTCCCCTGGATCGAAAATGAAGGGAAACGGTGGCGTGAAACGCGATCGATCGATCGATCGATCGATCGATCGTTTATGGATTCGAATCGTGATCCCCAGGCGACGATTTCGCTTCGATAAAACGACTTCGCGAGAGAGTTATAGGATAAGGGTGGCGAGGAGAGTTCGTTGGGTTCGGTGGAAGTTTTACGGGAGAGGGGGGGGGGGATTCCTCGCCTAGTCGCGGTCTGGAAGATTTCGCCTCCTCGCCACGGTGGCGAATAGCGATCGGGGGGTGTTAGCGTGACACTAGCGTGCCAGCCCGCCATCCCAACGATAAGGTTAACATAACATCGTTGCGTACGCGACGTAACAGAGTACGTACACCGTCGTATTTCGAATCCTAGCGTTGACCGCAACTCGCTCCATCGCGTTTCCACGGGGGTTGATCGACCATCCCCAGAACGGCGTGCCTCGCCTCTGCAAATTCTCGAGCGGCATTCCCTAGCGCGAGCCTTTCGTCGATAGACCAGATAGACCTTATTACCATTGCTCGAAATACGACGATAACCCGAAATACGATAACTCGAATACGCGTATATATATATATATATATATTTTTAAACCCTTCCTTCCTCCCTTCCTTTTTTTACCCGTGAATCTTCCAAAGTTAATTTTTCGTATTCCCCTTCTCTTCCACTTCCTCTTGCTTTTCTTTTTCCTTCGTTCTTTTCTTTCTTCCCCCCCCCCTTTCATTATTTCTCGCGCGCGTTGCGGGGAAACAAAGCTCGAATCCGGCTCGAAAGGGAGGAGAAGTGGAAAAGTTGGGAGAAGGAAAGGGGTGGAGGGAAGGGAAGAGGGGGAGATTCCGACCCTCCTGCCGCTTTCCATCGTCTTCTTCCCATCGTCGATGGCGGTTCCTCGGTAATTGTATCGAGTGTCTTAGAAACGACACTGTCCCCGAACCCGACGTTGTTGAACGTCCCAAAAAAGGTGAATGCCGCTCTCTTCCCATCCCCCTGCGCCCCAGCTTTCCGCCCCGGGCCGAAGCCAGGCTTTGACCCCCTTTTGTCCTCGCGTTGGACGAAAAATAAAAATTCCTAACCGGATGAAAGTTTGACCTGGATCTTTTTGTCGTGGGGAAGAGAGGGGAGGGGTGAAGAGGGACACAATGGGTCGACACGATTTGCATATACGGGACGGGCAACGGCGGCAACGTCTCGTGACGCGTGGTACATCCCAAAAAAGATCGCCTTTCTTTCATCGTTCGAACGAGAGACAAACGTCTCTCGCCTCTTCCCCTCTTCCCTTCATTGTATCAACCGCGAGAGAAACGCGTCTTCAAGGGAGGAGGAGGAAGAAGAAGAAGAAGAAGAAGAAGAAGAAAAATATTCGTCGATCTCGCCTCTTCGATTCCTTCGTCTCTCCTCCTCTCGAGATTTCACGGGGGGAGGGGGAAGGGAAAGGGAAAGGGAAACGCAACAACGGCCGCCACTCCGATC